AAGAAAAAGAAAATATTAAGCTGTTTGCTGGCGTGTACTATGTAGTTAGTGTACGGACTCGTACTATGTAGTTAGTGTACGGACTCGTACTATGTAGTTAGTGTACGGACTCGTACTATGTAGTTAGTGTACGGACTCGTACATCCCTGATTGCGACTATTAATTCAATCATATGAAAATACTCCAATGGGAACATATTCTTTTATATAGGTTGGAATACAGGTATCTATTTTATTTTACATCATTTTATTTATTCTGTGTGTCTGTCACCATCCTCCTCTCTGATGACTGCTGGTGAAAATTAAGTTGGGTGGGCATACTGTCTATATACAGGCATACAGTGGTACAAGATAACTTTCCCAATGGCTGCAGTGCAACATGCAGACAGCAGGTGACATGCAGAGGGTTTTCACGGCGCAGCTTAAAATGCGAAACACAGGATGGTGCAAAATGGGGGCTTGACACAAGGGTTTAAATACATACATAAGGGTTGATAAACATAATACAAGGTTATACTGATGCTAATTTCTTCCCATGTGTGAAAATGTATGTTTTCCAGGGTGAAGGTTGATTCCGTTATGACAAGCTGCTGTGAAAAACATGTCCACACTGTCTGCGACTACTATCCCTGATGGCCATGGTAAATGTTTCACTTCCATTCATGTACTTTTTGTTCAGACGTTGGCCGTTGGTAGGCCTGCAGAGCTCCGGAGAGATAAGCACTCTAAGTAGCTGCTGTGTCATTCTGTTTCCCCTGTAATACTTAAATACAAAGTTGATCAGATGTTGCTTAGCAAGTTGAAAGTATGTATCCTTGTTGTGATTATGATTGATGTTGCTTTTTTTTTTTATGTACTTGATCATCTTTTTGCTCATTGACGTAACTTCATCATATAATGGGGGGGTGGTGAGTGGCACAACGGGTTAAAAGCTGTGTCTGTGATTGGATGGCCACCAGTATGAATCTGGGTTGGCAGAGTGATTATCTGACCCTGCTTTCTCAAACATAATCTATATCGCCCGTGGATTAAAGCATCTGCTTAAAAAAAAAAAAAAATGTTTCCCCCCCCCCCCCACATACTTAACCTTGCATAACCCTGACCTAATTAGTGAGTTTTAAATAAAAACAAGTTGAATAATGATGGCTAAAAGCAAAATAATTACCGTGAATAAATGCACCAAAGAAAGACCACAGGATTTTTGGACTTGGATAAGCTCAGGGCTTTGCTGTAGCCATTGTACCCTTTTGCCTCCCGGGTGGGTCTCCCCAGCCTAAAGAAAGGTCGTCATGTGCATCGCAAATGCCACTCTGTGTTCAGCCTGACTCATGGCGTGGCGAAGTCTCAGTGAGTCAGGAATTTTCCTGCAGCCCCATATGAAGGGCTGCTTTATTCAGCCAGCCTACGCTGCCCGGGAGACCGCCTCCTCAAAGGGCTACGCTGGAGATGGAGGTTGTATGCGCCGTTCCGTGTCACTAGCAGCCATGAATACCAAACACTCTTCTTTGGGAAGCCGGCGCTTTCCCCGTGGGGGTGGCTGGGGAGTTTGAGGATGTGTTCTGATGTACTGCGTATTTTAGTTTCCAGGCAGTAACTTATCCAATGCAAACTCTTTGTCCAGTTCTTGTTAGATCCATTAGCTTCTACTGAAGCTACTTACAACAACAGCAGGGTCTCTTTCTTGATGTCAATCCGCTTCTTTTTATCCGAAAATGAGGTGTGAGTAATGCTGAGAGTTTTGACCGAGTTAAACTCTGGTTCCCTTTTAGTTGTGTTGTGATGACCTTTGTCTTAGTTTTTTATATGTGTGGGGGTTATATGTGGTAAAGAGTTTCCTAAATTAGGTCATTTTTTTCTGTGTGAAATACAGCAGAAAGATGAACCACTTTTCCTGTTGCCCAGTATTGGCATTGACTTAGCAGTGGCTAATGATAGCTTGCTTTGAAACATTCCGGTATTTCTAGATGGCTGATTACCATGATATTGTCATTAAAACATAACTACTGTTACACAAAAGCAGAAAGTAAAACTTGATTTTTTTTATTGCTGAGGCAAAATATTTTATGAGTAGCCATTCAGTCTTTGGACTGTTAACGTTTTACACCATAGTTCAATTTGTAAAATTAGACTTTATTGCTGATTTATATAGCCTGAGAAGAGCCGCAGACATTCATATATGCTTGAGTAGTATGGGTGGTCGCAGCTTTGCCTGTTGGATTTCTTTGTTTGTAGCTGTGTTCTCCTTACTGGTCTGGCAGACGTAATCGCCGTCCCTTTCACCTAACACAACCCATGTTAGACTTGCTCACAAAACCCACATGCCAATACATTGCTGGAAGAAAAATAAATGAATCAACATAAGAAGGCTTGTTTCATGGTGAATTGGAGGCTGTAGTAGAAATTGATAATCTGTCTATGTGCGTGAACAAAAGACCTTTTCACAAAAATGTCACCCAGACTTGTTTTGTCAGAAGTTATTCAGCAGTATGATGTGATTGTGAGTCATTCCTGCTAAATTTTTACATTGCAGAGATTTAGCTGACTTCAGCTTGACCTGTTTGCATAGAGAAAATACCGTAAGCCTGAGGTTGAATTTAACACATTTTAAATGTTATTCTTTTAAATCCAAATTTAATTCCCTGTCACTGTAAGCCAATACCTTGGCCTTCACTTCGTTCTCTCTTCTTGAAAGAAATGCCAGGTCAATTGTCATCTGCAGGCTTGCATGCTGAATTGGCGTTCTCACTCTACAGCACCACCTACAGGCTAAAATGGAGAAAATAGGTCTCTGACAAGCGTGCTGCTGTAGATCGGAATCTGATCTAAAAGGCCTTTTATATTATGTTGTTTAGATAAAACATTTTCATTAATATCAACATGATTACAGTTCAAAGTCTGCTTTATATTAGTAGATCCTTTCTAAGCAATTTTGAAAGTATCTTGAAACCTGTTATCCCAATCATAGACCACAGGCACAACTGACCAGCCAATAAATCTTCTGATTCATCTCAAGTTTGTTTATTTGTCATGCTGTGATACTGAATCATTTTAAAACACTCCCCCAGATCAGAGGAGTGTATGGACCAAATACCATATCTTTGTATGTAAGGGCAGAATAGTGACCACTAAGAAATACACACACCACACACACACAAACACTATTATTCAAACAGTGTGTTCAAAACGAAATGCATATACAGCGTTTCCTTCCCTGTTTGCAAATAAACTATAACTATTCACTCAGCATAGACATTTTCACTATTGTAAACAGGAGTCTCAAAATAAACAAAAATAAATTATGCCAAGGTCTATATCTGTGTTGCAGAGGTTCAATAAAGCAGCATCCACATTGTTCTCTTAAAACGGAAGGTGAATGAACAAATGAACAAAAAATGAACAAAAAACCTAAAATTGAAATCTAAAACAACTGCCAAATGGCTTTAAAACAGAAGCTTGACAACCATTTAAAGTTGTTACTCTTTAACAAAATAAAGCAAATATTGCAAATTATGATATATTTAACCTGTTAGCCTGTGAGTGTTTTAAATCAAAACGAACTTCCAGCAAATTCCCCTGAGACACTAACTAATTTGATTTTAGCTGTGGATTCTGTCACGACTGAGGATCCTGTGTTGTTTACGACCAGGAAGGAATGCTATCGGTTTCTATTAAAATATCTTTGAGCCCCTTTTAAATGCACGATAAAAGTATATTGATATAAAAGGTATTGCATTATCCTATATTTGTTTTTGAAAATATCGATATACCATAAGAATTCTACGTACCGCCCAGACCTAAGGCCTACATAACATGCTCGTTGCTTGAGAAAACTGCAATGAGCGAGTGTCCAGCAGCTTTGGCCGTTAGATTGGTCGTATCCCTACTTCCCCTCTTCTTCGTTTTTTTTGGACCTGTGGTCATCAGCAGTAAGTTCTTGGGTCACCTCCAGAGGTCACTGGCAGAACATTTGGAACATGTTGTTAGGGTTCCTGAATGAGTAAACATGTGTTTCATAACTTATCGGGAAGTGGGGGGGGGAGTCCGAGGTTAGCTGCTGAAATTCCTATGCTGTGCATAGACCCTCGCTTCTCCGACAGCAGGTGCTCTATGCTGCAAGGGAGGGAAACCTGTCCGGTTTGCAGCACAAGAAGATGCTACCAGGTCAATACAACCTTGTAGAGTCTGCTGCTAGAGCTGTGGGCTTATGCCATCATGTCCGTTCCGTCGACGGATAGGCCACTGGTCCCACGTGGAACCTGATCCTTGTGGAGGCAGGACTTGGACCATGAGGGTGGCTTGGACCCACTTTGAGCTGCCCTGAGAGGAATTTGACAGTGACGATATTGATTTAGAGTATGTCATGCGTGTTAATAGTGCAAGTAATCATAGCTGCATCCCCCATGCACTCGTTTATATAATATATATGCTGTTAATCTGCTTGGGTGAACCTCTGCTCTCCAGTTTTCTGGGGATTTTCTCATCTCACCTAAATTATTCTTTGAAAGGAGTGTGTCTAGAATATAACGGCCGTTTAAAATGTATCTGCAGTATAGCTGTGGGTAAATGATGTTTTATTTTGAGACCTGTTTTTCCCTTCATGATTGAACCATTTTTGAGAGCAGTTGTACAGAAATCCATTTAAGCACTTACACAAATGGGTCTTTCTGAAAGGGTCAATTTTTTCCTATGCGTAGGTCACTAATGTTATCCACAATCCCCTCACATTGCATTTATCTAAAATATGAGCAAAATAAATGCACTTTAACTTTTTTTTTTACATCATCTTTGGTTGTAATTCAAAAATGCAATTTGTGTTTGTCCAGCAGGGGTTTGTCAGTTGTGGTTTCTAGCTAGTGGATAGTTAAATTCAGAGAAATCCTGAAATGCCTTGTAGCATCTCCTTTTCTGTATGCTCATTCACAAAGAATATCAGCATCGTGCCAAATGAGAGATGAAGCCTGAATTCCAGATGAAAAGGAAAATACCTGTACTGTATAGGCTGACAAGCGTGTATGGTGAACAGATCCAGATTGTGTTCCTTCTCGGAACTGTGATGCTATTTAGCTCTTTTTTCTTTGCTGTCTCCCGCTGCAGGTGAAATTAAATTGTTTGGGGTGGTGCCAGAGCTGGACTCGAGTTTGGAAGTGCCCCCCAGTGCAATGTTGACTCAGAGCAGCCATGATGGGACTCTGCAACCCCTCCTCCTTGGTGGCCTGCAGGGGGAGCCCATGGGACCAGGGCTGCACTGCTCCATGTCCTTGGACTCCATTGACCTCAAAACAGACTTTACAGGTATCTGATGGACGATTGACCCAGGAGAGGCTGGTTAAATGTTGTCTGAAACTGCAGTGTTGCAAATTTTATCATGACTCACTTTACTTCATACAGTTTGTTGTAACTAACTGTGACTCCTTTGACTGCAAATGAGAATTAAAGCATAGCATCGTTTTCCAAGGCACTGTGTCCATTTGCTATGGTTTATAATTTAAGATTTTAAGAAATATTTGACAAAAGAACTTTCATTATGAGTTCATATAGTGTTTTGTGGATCTTTTCCCCTCCATAATTGGGCTTCCCTAATTTTGCTAAATTGTACATTAAGCTTAAATATGCCATGGTTTTAATAGAAGACAGGAATGTGCAGAGAGAGAATAGAGCGGACTTAGTATGTCCTCAGCGACAACCAGCCCGTTCTTTGTCAGCAGTCATATATAAACTAGGTAGTGCAGTCACATGTTGCGTGTATGCAGAGCGTTTGTGTGTCACTGGAGCACGTCCCTCCCGCAGAGAATCAGCCGGTGAAGAGGAAGAAGGGTCCGGCCCCCAAGATGCTGGGTAATGAGGTGTGCAGCGTGTGTGGGGACAAGGCCTCCGGCTTTCACTACAACGTGCTGAGCTGCGAGGGCTGCAAGGGCTTCTTCCGCCGCAGCGTCATCAAGGGCGCCCAGTACTCCTGCAAGAACAGCGGCAAATGCGAGATGGACATGTACATGCGGCGCAAGTGCCAGCAGTGCCGGCTGCGCAAGTGCCGGGAGGCGGGCATGCTGGAGCAGTGTGAGTGCGCCCCCCGCTGGCTGAAGGCCTGCTCCATCTTCCAGCCGGCGATCTTGTTTCAGCAGGCATAGGAGGTGGTTTCTGCCTCAGTAGGTCAGCCCTCTGTGTCTGTGATCAGAACGTTGCCGGTTTGAAACCCCCCGCTCGGCAAAATCGTCACATCTCACTTGTGCCCTTGAGTGAGACCCTTTACCCCCCCCAAATGCTCCAAGGGCGCCAGATCACTGGGAGACCCTGTGCCCTGACATCAAACTCTGCTCTCAAATGCATATATGTGTGGGTCTCAAAGGACAGCAAGGTGGGACATACAAAGAGAAGCATTCCAATCTACCTGTATTCATACTTGTCTGAAAAACAAATGAAGCATTATTTCATTGCTGTACTGGGATGTTACACTGCTCTGCCTATGTGAGCAGATATGTAGAAATACTATTTGCATATTATTTATATTTGTTTCCAGTCATCTTCCAAGTGCTTATCCTGGTCAGGTGACACCTGACAGGCATTACACTGTAGATGGGATGCCAGTGTATTTCAAGGGCATATGAAACTATGGGCAATTTAGAATAAGCGTAGCATACCTTTGGACTGTGAGGAAACTCAGATGACTCAGAGAGAACATGCAAACTCTTCAAAAACAGACCGGAGGCGAGATTCAAATCAGCAATCCTGGGGGCGCGAGGTAACTGTGGTACCCACTGAGCCACCATACCGCATTAGGAATATATCTGTTACCCATTTAAACCATAAGTAAAGGCATTATACAACCATTTGGCAGGAATGAAAGCACAGAAGGTGGGTTCACTGAACACATCATGCTGTGTTTAAACACGCTCTGTTCCCATGACTCAGGTGTCCTCTCAGAGGAGCAGATACGGCTGAAGAAAATGAAGAAGCAGCACGAGGAAGAGTCAGCCCGTAGCTCTGTCGTTCTGGCCACCCCCACACCGGGGGCCGAATCAGCCCAGCTACCGCCGCAGCAGCAGGAGATGATTGAGAAGCTTGTGACCATGCAGAAACAGTGCAACAAGAGGTCCTTCATAGACCAGCCCAAAGTCACCGTACGTTGGTTCTAATGGCACAGGGCAACTCATATTTGGGCCCAGCCTGGGTCTTCATCCCTTGCAGCTGTTTATCAGTTTGGTTTCACTTTGTCTGGCCCCAGCCTTGGCCCCAGAGCCAGGACCCCCTGAACCGGGAGGTGCGGCAGCAGCGATTCGCCCACTTCACCGAGCTGGCCATCATGTCCGTGCAGGAGATCGTGGACTTCGCCAAGCAACTGCCGGGATTCCTGGAGCTGACGCGAGAGGACCAGATCGCCTTGCTCAAGACGTCCACCATCGAGGTGAAGCCCAACACTCTTCTTCTCTGAAGAAGCATATGGCAAGTCGGTTTCTGAACCGCACCCATCAGATTGGTGACGGTGGCATTTTATTTGTAACATTTTTCTTATGGGAGTCCTGCCATTTACTGTTCTTCTGCCAAGCCTCTGTTCATTGCCAAGGTCCTTTATTTTTTCTTCTCTTCTGTTACTCACACATATATTAAAATACTCTCTTCAGATCATGCTGTTGGAAACCTCACGAAGGTACAATCCTGATATTGAAAGCATCACATTTCTGAAGGATTTCAGTTACAATAAGGAGGATTTTGCAAAAGCAGGTTTGCATCCATTATGAAAAAGTTTCTTGTCTGTTAGGATCAGTCTTTAGTACATTAACTCGTGTTATTTCCTCAGCTTCAATTTGCTTTAATTCCCAGAAAATTGAACTTCTGAATGCATTTTCATATTTTAAGGGCTTCAGTTGGAGTTCATCAACCCCATCTTTGAGTTTTCCAAGGGAATGAATGACCTGCATCTGGACGAGGCCGAATACGCCTTGCTCATCGCCATCAACATCTTCTCAGCAGGTTGGAAAACTTTTACCCGATTCATCCCATCACTGTGCAGATGGCAGGAGTCTATATGCTTATTGGGACTGCTGAACTGCTGAAAGATATATACCTGTGTTTGTGAGTAAGAACTGTGAGAACCTTTGGTCATCTGCAGGTTTTGGTAATTCATGTTTGAATGCATAAATATCGCAGCTTTTTCGTCATTCATAGCAGGGTATTATACTGGAGGATTCTCTTTAAGCAAAGATACTTCATCACGTCTATGCTGGGGCAACCTTCAGGACACAAGTCCATGTTCTTAATTACTGTGCCACCTCTTGATGTGTTTTACAGACCGTCCTAACGTGCATGACCATGATTTAGTGGAAAGACTCCAGCAGCCGTATGTGGATGCTCTTCACTCTTACATCAGGTTAAAGAGACCTACAGTAAGTACTGGAACTGCTACAGAAAACCTGGGTGTGATAATCACTAGTTCTAAATGTTATTGTTCTTTAGTATGAATTGTATTTGTCGCTTTGTGTTCTCAAGTGGATCCTACAGTGTTTAAATCAACTGTCATGCCTTAGTGTAAAACAGAAGGTTTCTGTGCAAGCATCTGGCCCAAGAACTTCACCAGCCTGCCAGGTGCCGCCATTGCTGCTACCATAGTAGAAGAATCCAGCAAAACTCAATCCATCCATGTGTTGCAGGACCACCTGATGTTCCCACGCATGCTGATGAAGCTAGTGAGCCTGCGGACCCTCAGCAGCGTCCATTCAGAGCAGGTCTTTGCCCTGCGTCTCCAGGACAAGAAGCTTCCACCCCTCCTGTCAGAGATCTGGGATGTCCACGAGTGATGGAGTGTCACCATCGCATTCTTGGCTTGCCTTGCCTAGGCCTCCTTCAGTCCTGCCAAAATCCTGTCAGGATTGAAGAGTTTGGTTGGAGCGTATACCTCTGTAGGTTTGGATCCCTCCCAGAGACGGATGTGACGTTTCCTTTACTCTGGGCATTCCTCTGTAACGTTCAGCTCTCTGCATCACAACTCCTGGCCATGTAACTCGTCTTCACAGAGCAAAAAATCTGAAGGGACAAAGCCAAAGTCGCTAATATAAATTTTATTCCACTTAATGCAGGTTTTAAGAAATACTCTTCTTACAGATACTGCCTCAGGAAATTGTAGGCTTGTGTTTCTGGCTATATATATATATATAAAAGTGAGAGAGAGAGAGTGTCCATCCTGGAAGAGTTATGGGGAATTCAGATCAGGGCATGAAATAAAACATTTGGGCTTATGTCATTAAGGAATTCTCTGTTAACTCTGTATAACCTGGCAGCTCTGTACTTACAATATATGTCAGACTTGACAGCCAGTGTTAATGCGACAATGAATTACATTCAGAAAATGCATCTTTCACTTTACTAAACTAGGGAGCTTTAGCGGGTGTGGCATGCTTAATCATAGAATGCATATTATATCTCGTACTGACAGAATGTTTATGTGGGTAAAATGTTTAATATTGCCCTGCAGGTTAGAGGCAAAGCGTAAAACATTAAAGAATAATGTTGCATAAAAACACACGTATACCTAGACCCAGACAAACATGATATAGTTTGTCTGAATCTACTGTATTACACTCACAACTTTGTCTTCCTCATGGTGAGTCTGCAACTTGTCCTCTGCCCCCCCCCCATGTCATTTAGAGAAGTAAAGAATGTATGGATGCTACAGGGACACCTTTGTATACTTTCAATGTGGAAGAGCTGCAGTAAATTCTACCGCTGCTATACCCGAGGCAAGTTGCAGTTTACAAAATAAAACAGAGCATTTATTTCACATGACCACCTCTTTCTCTGAGCTTTAGCACTTTAACCTTGGGTCTCATCTGTGATATTTTTGGGTGGGGGGGGCAGGAAAAATAGTAACCTAAGTGGGCCACTTTGAACAAGTAGCACACAAACATCACAAGTAGCTCTTCGAATAGAGCACTGTTTCTTGCAGTTTTATAAACTTTCCATTTAGGTGCTGCTGTGTCAGACCCAGGGGGAAAATTTATTAAGTTTTTGTGCAACATTTGCTTTGAGTAATAAGATTCTGATTGTGCATTTGAAATGAAATAGATACATTCAGAGCATCAGGGAAAGGATAAAGGTGCTTGTTTATCAGTCTTTGCTCTTTTGGAAAACTGATTCAGAAGTAGATGGAAATAAACCAAGTGCAGGTATACTGTAAGGTACATTTCCTACTACAACCTTGGCAAATACTGATGCTGTCCCTGGAGTTATCCTGTAACATCAAAATTAAAGTATCTTTCTCTGTTTTCATTCCACTTATTTTGTCAATAGGTCTAATTCACTGACTGGATTTATAACACCACACTTGAATTGAACATCTGCTGGTTTATATGGGGTTTCTAATGCACCCATAAATCTTTGTGGTACAGTTTTATTGTTCCATGAACAACTGCTTATTTCGCTTGTTTTAAAATGTTTAGCAAAACTTACTTATCAGGCTTCGTCATCCCCGGATTGTTATACCAAAACGTTTAAAAGTATATTTCAGAACTGAAACAATGGTTTCCCTTGTACTTTATGCTATCTGTGTTTAGACTTGTTTTCTAAAACTGTTGCCTTAATTCCTTTTGTCCTGCTTTTATGTGTGAAATGCTGACAAAAAATATGCACAGATGTTTTTTTAATTATGAAAGACTATTTTTGCAGTACCTTGTTGAACCGAATGTGTATTAAAATTTGTGTATATGTTTGTTTCTAATTTCAAAGTGATTGAGGAAGTATACAGTTGCCTAGCACGCTAAAAAATAAAACAAATAATTTCTTGAATGAGATTCCTTTTCCTGCAGAGAATCATTTATTGGTAGTTAAGCTTTTATATTACTGAACTCCTGTTCTACAGTATCAGCCACTGATTTTGTACGCATTTCAAAATTTGCAATAACTTAATAAACCATTGAGTCTAATCCTCTTCAGCAAGAATAAATTACGCTGCTTATAGGGTTACTGGTTACCCCGTGGAAAACGAACTGGGTTTAAGTCGCCATTGATCAATTGGTTACCCATACAGAAAATCGAAATTTACACACGTGAGCACCGTTTCTTCTCGTAAACAATGTCATTAACACAATATTCCCCTAGGGGGAGCTTTTACTTGCGAAAAGAAAAATCTAACTTTAATTTCCTAGGCCTTCATCTAATTTGTTTATGAATTATCTAACTCTCCTTACGTATATGTATGTCGGGGAATACTTCATACCTGCAATATTAGCGGAAATGAAAGCATCTGCCAATAAAATTCAGAATAACTTGCAACAGTTGGAGCTCAGCGCTTGGTCCACACTAAAGGTCCAAATGGGCTATACTATTACAAAGGGGGGATGTAATACGCGCTTGTACAAATGAATCGGCTAATATAAACAGTCCGATTTCGTTATTATTGAACGTATAGTTCCCGCCACTTCATGCTAACTTTACAATTACAGCTCTACATAATTTTACATACACCGCAATGGTGAAGAAGGCTGTAGGCGATAGGAGGCAGAGAGAAACGCATAGCTGCGAGCTACACGAGCCGCTGTCGACCTCCCCGCTCGGGGAGATAGTAGGATCTTCCCACGCGATGCGGAACTGGACGCGATGACGTCGTAGCGGAGGTGAGAGCTGTCATGCAGCCCGACTGGCTTGTAGTGCAGCATCTCTCCGGCGAGCACAAAGGAGCGGCTCCTATGCCTCCGATCATTAATAAGTACGCCTGGAATATTATTCAGAAACCACCAAACGTCTTGAGTCCATTATAGCTTACCAGAAAGCCATACAGCCGAATCAGACAGGTAAGTGGACGAGCAAAGAAAGCATTTTTAGAGTAATTAGCAGTATTTTGTTGACTGTTCCGTCGTTATTTGTTATATTCAACATACGCATTTTTCTAGTGGCTGTGCATTATAACTAGCGAGGAAGGTATTATTAAAAAGTTCACAGTAGCTGCTGTAGCAAGCACAGGGAGCCTCAAAAAACTTAATACAGCGTCGTTATTATGTAGGTGTTGTCAGGCAGTCGTGCACTTTCCGACGCGGTTCGTGACAAACCGGTAGGACCTTAGTGAGCATCATCACCGCTGCAAGCAGTCAGTACAGTGCTTTCCAGAGTTGATAGGCAGTCAGACGTACTTTCTTCAAAGATGGCTCATTTCTTCTTGAAAACGTAGCTGACCCGTTCCGTTGTTACTCATCCTTGGTTTGGGACACGTGTATCCCACCGGACTGTACACTATTATCTCTACGGCCAGTGTGATCGCGTCCACTGTGCTCGCTGCCTGCCTTCTAATGCACTTGGACGGACATGTAAAGCGTCCCGACGAGTCCCTTTCTGTCTCTAAATCCTAAACTAGCCATCCAGCATTGGCGCACATCCGTCAGCTGCAGGGCATCTCTGGTCAGGGCACATTAATGCCGGGGCCTGTCCGGTCATTTATTCAGTGTGTATGGGTACGCCGTACTGCTGACTGCGAGCCTTGCAGCTTCAACATGATAAAACAGATGACAGCCTTTTAAGCACATGACAAGCCTGCAAGAGTCGCGGCCCGGACTGTAAAATGAATTTCGTTGTGCCGTTTACTTCTTATTAGTAATGGTAGAGACGTCAATTTAATATTAACGTGGCATCAATAAAGAGAGGATGTAGTGTTAAACTAAATCAAATGGGCTGTAGGCTGCAGCTGATCCGATGAGGGCCGCACTTTGTAGGCTTAAATCGTGTTGTCATTGGTGCTTATTTGGTGTAAGTTTTTTTTTTTTTAAGTGGTGCAAATCCACGCTTTTCCTCATTGGGCCAGTGTCTTGTGATTACACCGCATAAGCTGCATTACTGTGAACATGCAGTGGGTAATATTATACTGTTCTGTGGAAGCATTGATAAATTACTTTATATGATTTTGCTTCCCTCGAACCCAACTTTGACAGGAGCGTATTTTCAAGTTTAAACTCTGACCACAGATACTACCTGTGCTCCCCTTCTGTTAACACGATTAAGCACCGGGACCTTGTTTACCTACCAGGCTAAGTTTGTTTTACTTCCCCATATTTCTTTGTTGCTTCCCTCTGTCGGGCTGATGCTATTACAATTGAGTCTCCGCTGCGAATAATTAAAAATAAACTGAATGAGAGACGGGGCTGTTTGCTCTGCCAGTATTCCGCTGTCCGCTTTTGATTGCAAAGGTAATCCCCGAAAATAAGAGGTAATTGGATAGCGCTGCGCTCCCTTTTTGCGGGTCCTGCTGATGGTTCATTGACGTCAGTATGTGCCGGCGTGTTTGCAGGTTGCCTTTATGGCACCTCAAATGAATTGCCATTGTAGAAATGATATGCGAAAGTAAATTTATCCTGGAATATTATTAAGAAGTTTATTTTTAGTGCTGCCGTTGACATTCATATGTAAAAAGGACACCTTTCTGTACAGTGCCTTGCAAAAACATTCAGACATTCTTGGCAAAGTCAAACTTCACTGTTCTTTCCAATTGATGATTTAATTAAAATAATACTCAAAATGAATTATTTGAAATCAACATGAGTTGCACCACAATATACTGTATGGGGAAAAATAAATATTTAGACTCATTTTGGGGAACCTTAAGTTATTTACACTGATGTTAGCAAGCCTCTCAGATATTCACATAATCCTAAAACGGAGAACTTTTAAATTAATGGTATAACCTAGATGGTAGTAATTTTTGATTTTTTATGAATTTGAAATTTTAATGAACCTGGCAGACCAAGAGTATTGTATTAATGGGGCCAATAAGAAGAGTGTAGTTTTTTGTGGTGGTTTTTGCTCTAGTGAAATGTTTTTGACATTTATGTTACTTTTTTACTTACTATATCTCATTTTCTTTACCTCTCCCATTTGTATGCATTCATAATGGTGTCTGTTACTGAATTTATCAGTCCATTCAACATTAATATGTTCAAATAAGACTTGAATTACACTTTGATTCCTTAAAATGCTTGGAGGATTATATGTCAGAATATTGAACTGCAGTACAGACTGTTTAATAGCATTGGTTTTTGTTGCTCAGTTTTCAGTAATATGTTTTATCTGAAGAAATTGCTTCCAAAACTCTGCAGAGTGTCATATATTTCAATTTCAATATATTTCAATTATTGAAATAGCGGATTAAATGTTAACCGGTGCTAGCATTCTTTAGAGCACATGCTGGTGTATCTGCCTCTGACAATGGCTGTCGCTCTTCCACTCTAGGATTTAACTTTCATTGTCAATAAATCAATAAGATATAATAGTGTATTTACTTGTTTAGCCTGCATCTCTTTTACTGTTTTTACCAATGTATAAAACCGGGTATTTTAATTATCAAAGATGCTCACAGGTGCTACAGCAGGACCTCTGGGATGTGACCTGATGACCTTCTTGGTTACGACAATGTGGCCTTAATCTTTGCACTGCATATATACTGTACTGTCCATGCAATCATGCGGTCAGTATTTGGGGCCAACAACAACAACAACAAATTTATTTTTGTATAGCGCATTATCACAACATTACAT